ATTGTTCCTTCAGGGAAACAAGAGAGAGCTGTCATGAATATCCCGATTAGAGGTAGTCCTCGACTTATAACCATCCACTTAGTGACCCTTCGACGTTACGACGGCACTGAATAAAGGGACTTATGACTGTTTTTCACACTTACGACCTTTGGAGCATCCCTGAGGTCTTATGATCAAAATTCAGATGGCCATTGACTCGTTTTTATGACGGTTGCAGTGTCCCGGGATCAGGTGATCCCCTTTTGCGACCTTTCGACAACCAAAGTCAAACGGGAAACCCGATTCACTTAACGACCATCTTACTGCTGTGGTGATTCACTTAACAACGGTGGCCAGGAAGGTCGTAAAATGGGACAAAACTCACTGTACAGATTTCTCCCTCAGCAAGATAAATTCGGGCCGCAATTGTGGTCATAAATCGGGGACTTACTCCCATCTGCCAGAACATTTCCCTAGTACCGTGATGGCGAACCTATGGCACGGGTGCCACAGGTGGCACACGGAGGCATATCTGTGGACACGCGAGCGTTGCCCTATCTCAGTCCAGCACGCATGTGCGTGCTGGCCAGCTGATTTTTGGGCCTTCCGGGCCCACTGGAAGTTGGGAAATGACCTGTTTCAGGGCCTCCGGAGAGCCTCTGGGTGTGTGTGTGGGGAAGGCCGTTTTCGCCCTCCCCAGCTCCTAGAAAGGCTCTTGGAGCCTGGGGAGGGCAAAAAATGGGCCTACTGGGCCCACCGTGCCATTGCGTGCCAAAAGAAGAGGGAGAGCGGGGGGGGGGGCTCATGCACGCATGCGTGAGAGGACGGGGCGCATATAATTATGGGTGTGGGCACATGCATGTGCCATCCCACCCTCCCACTACCCCCGCTTTTGGCACGCGACAGCAAAAAGGTTATCTATCATTGCCCTAGTAAAAGAAACACGTTTGATTTGTTAATCTGCTAGGTCCAGAAACTCCTCCGCTGCCTCTATCCTTGTTTGAACAGAATAAAAATGAGATTGAATTCCAGAACGAGAAGTCATAAACTCCTTGGTTTCAAAGCATCGTGGTTAATAAGTGACTCGGGTTTAAAACCTGCTTTTTTTTCCCCCCCTGACCTTCATTAATCCTGTTTGCTCCAAGCTATTCCTGCTTACTCCCAGGGTGTGAGACCTCTTGAATTATAAGGAGCTGAGCAACCTTGGAAGATATGAACACAAAACAACTCATGGCTTAGTTTAACCAAGGGTTTCAACCAATTTTGGGAGATCTGGCATAATGGCAGGATGGAACTTCCTTTGACAGGCGCAGTCTATCCTTGAATCCTCGATGCTAAGAGAAGAGGACCGGATAGGGAGTCCTGGAGTTACCGCCACAGTTAGGCCCAACATTGATGCCGCTAAGAGAAACGTGTGTAAAATGAGTTTTGCACCATTTTTACAACCTTTCTTGGCACGGTTGTTAAGTGGATCACTGCCATTGATATGTTAATAAGTTGGTTGTTAAGTGAATCACTGTCATTGATTAGTTAATAACTTGATTGTTAAGTGGATCGCTCCCACTGATAAGTTAATAATTTGTTTGTTAAGTGAATCATTGTAGTTGATAAATTAATAACCTGGTTATTAAGTGAATCGCTTCCATTGATAAGTTAATAAGTTGGTTGTTAAGTGAATCACTGTCTTTGATAAGTTAATAACTTGGTTGTTAAGTGAATCACTGTCGTTGATAAATTAATAACTTGGTTGTTAAGTGAATCGCTTCCATTGATAAGTTAATAACTTGGTTGTTAAGTGAATCACTTCCATTGATAAGTTAATAACTTGGTTGTTAAGTGAATTGCTTCCATTGATAAGTTAATAACTTGGTTGTTAAGTGAATTGCTTCCATTGATAAGTTAATAACTTGGTTGTTAAGTGAATCGCTCCCATTGATAAATTAATAACTTGTTTGTTAAGTGGATCGTTCCCACTGATAAGTTATTAACCTGGTTGTTAAGTGAATCGCTCCCACTGATAAGTTAATAACTTGGTTGTTAAGTGAATCTGGCTTCCCCATTGACTTTGCTCGTCGGATGGTCGCAAAAGGGGATCCCGTGATCCAGGGTCATTGCAACCGTCATAAATATGAACCAATTGCCAAGTGTCCGAATTTTTTATTGAAAAAGTTTTTCTAATACAGATTTTTCCCCCTTTTTTTCTCCCCCCCTCCTCCCTAACCCCCCCTCTCCACCCTCCCCCTGTGACTTCTTCAAAGTAAAATCCAAATTCATAACAGATTATATAATACTTTACCATCCCAAGTGTCCGAATTTTGATCCCGTAACCACGAGGATGCTGCAACGGTCATAAGTGTGAAAAACGGTCCCAAGTCACTTTTTTCACTGCTGTTGTAACTTCGAACGGTCACTAAACGAACGGTTGTAAGTCGAGGTCTACCTGTCGACTTTTAAGGCTGCAGCGTCAGAGCCTGGCATGGATTGGAGAACTGCAGTCTTGTACACTTACTCACACCCACGCCGGTGGATAATCCTAATTATAGGGTGCAAGAAACAGGCCACTCTGGCAAGCCAAATGGCTACCTAAAGACAATACTTTCTCTCCACCAGCCCAGATGGATTCTCAAACGGGGAGCCAAACACTAAATCAAAAAAGCAAAATAAAATAAAATAAAATAAGACAAGATCTCTAGTTCTTTCCCACCACTTTCCAAACTTTTCAAAACTTACAACTCGCTTGTTGAAAAATAGCAAAATCAAAAGAGAGAGAGAGAAAGAAAGAAGGAGGGAGAGAGAAGCAAAAAAATCTCATATTTCTCAAAGCAAGCCTTTCGTGTGAGGTCAAACGGCCGGCCGGCACACCTAATTCAAGAATTCTTCAAACTTTTTTTTTTATTGAAAAAGTTTTACAATTACATTTTCTCCCCAATTTCCTCCCCCCCATCCCTCCCTGACCTCCCTAACCCTCCCTTACCCTCCCCTCCCCCCTGACTTCCTCAGAATATAATCCAAATCAAAATCCCCTTTTTATAAAACTTGAACCCGTCCACCCCCTGTATATTTTTCACATCTTCACAAAATTCTATTATTCTATCGCTATATAATACTTTCAGTTAAAAGCTATCTGATATTTCCTAGTTTGATATTTATTCTGCACATAATCTATCCACTTTTTCCACTCCCATTCATAAGTCTCTTGTGAGCGATCTTTTAAATATGCTGAAATCTTCGCCATCTCTGCAAAACTGGCCATCTTCAAAGAATTCTTCAAACTTTTAAGCAATGCCCAATGTCTTCCCCACCCCCCACCCCCCCACTTCGGAGGACTCGATTCATGTGCTTCAACTTTCTGTTTCCCAAAAATCACAACTTGCTGGCTTCCTGGCAAAGCTATTTGGCAGATTGTTCGGTTTCCCCATCCAATCTCCCTCAAGCTGAAGTTAGTGGTATGTCGTTATTTACATAAGTATGAATGTTAGACAAGAAGAGAGGAGAGGAGAGGAGAAATGAGAAAGAGAGGAGGAGAAGAAGAGAAAGGAAAGAAAAAAGAAAAAAAAGAAGAGAAGAGAAGAGAAATGAGGAGAGGAGAGGAGAGGAAAAGAAGAGAAAAAGAAAGGAAAAAGAAAAAAGAAGAGAAATGAGAAAGAGGAGAGGAGAAGAAGAGAAAAAGAAAGGAAAAAGAAAAAAGAAGAGAAATGAGAGAGGAGAAGGAAAGAAAAGGAAAGAAAAAAGAAGAGAGAAAAGAAGAGAAATGAGAGAGAAGTGAAGAAGAGAAAAAGAAAGGAAAGAAAAGAAGAGAAATGAGAGAGGAGAAGGAAAGAAAAGGAAAGAAAAAAGAAGAGAGAAAAAAAGAGAAATGAGAAATGAGAGAGAAGTGAAGAAGAGAAAAAAAGGAAAAAGAAAAAAGAAGAGAAGAGGAATGAGAGAGGAGAAGAGAAAAGGAAAGAAAAGAGAAAAGAAGAGAAATGAGAGAAGAGAAGAGAAAAAGAAAGGAAAAAGACAAAAAGAAGAGGGGAGGAGAGGGGAGGAGAGGAGAGAGGAGAAAAAGGATGAGAGAGTGAGGAGAGGAGAGGAGAAGATAAAAGGAAAGGAAAAAAAGAAAAGTAGAGGAGCAGAGAAAAGAAGAGAAGAAAAGAGAAAAAGAGGAGAGAAAATTAAAAAAAAGGAAGAGGAGAGAGAAAAAGACAAAATAAAAAGAGGAAGGAAGAACGGAAGAGAGAAGGAAGGAAAAGAGAGGAAGAAAAGAGAAGAAGAAAGGGAGAAGAAAAGAGAGAAGAGGAGACAAAAAAAATAAGAGAGCAGAAAGAGAAGGAGAAAAAGAGAAAAGAAGGGGGGGGGGAAAGAAAAGGACGCCCCTTATTGTCACAGCACGAAAATCCGGAAGAAAGAAGGGGAAGCTTCTTCCGAACTCCAGCCATCCCAGGACCAAACAAAACTTTTGTCAAAAGTTTCTGCAAAACTTTTTTGCTTCCGAAATGATTGACAGCTTCTCCCCAGCCTCATCCTCAGCCAGTAACCCCAGCCGTCCACGCTCCCAAAAGTTTCAATCTTGCAAAAATCCTCCAAGATCCTCCTCCTTCCCTCCCCCCTCCCTCCTTCCCCCTCCCTCTCCCCCCCCAGCCGCCCCATTTTTTGCCAAAGTTCATCCTTGGGGAATTTCCCCCCCTCCCCCATCACACCCACCGGTCCACGACCTCCTAACCAGGAGCAAAAATGAAGCCGGCGAAACAAGAAGCTGGGCTCTCTATCTGTTGAATTTCTGCCTGCCTGTTTGCCTGCTTAGCCAGATTGCTGTCAAAATCCCAGCAATTTTGGGATCCCAGCACAAGTTTTACTCAACCGCACAAGTTTTACTCAAGAAAAAGTAGAGTCGTCCCGTGGGAAAGTTGCCTGCATTTTCGGGGTCCCTCTCTTTAGAGGTTTGAGGTCCAGCAGAAATGTGTAGGGGGGGGTTGAGCCCCAAAATGTGGGGGGGTGAGGGTAGGCAGGTTGAACCCCAAATCAAAGGCATTTCTTTTTACCTGATTTGCAAAGAATCCGAGATCGCGGTGCAGGAACCAGCCAGCTGCGGCTTCCTTCTTTCCCAGCAATAACCGTTTTGCTCCTGTGCAGGCAGGCGGGTATTAAATTTACCAGCTGACCTGAGGCTCAGGTAACCAGGTTGCACAACTTCCTGTTTACCTGGGCAATTCTCTTTCCTGTACATTCAAAAAAAAATTTTTTTTTTTTTTTTTTGCACACCAGACAAGTCTCAGTGCAAAGTTAGATCTCGGAGCTGCCGGCATCCCAGATTTCCATGGAAAGAGGGTGCCCTGTTTGGATTCAGCAAAATACACACACACACACACACACACACACACACACACACACACACACACACAATTATGGGTCGTTGGTGTTCTCTGAGCTAGATTCGGGTGTTGTTGTTTTGGGGGGTTTTTAGGCATTTCATGATCCAACTAGGGAACATCATCAGTGCTAGAAGGAATGAGGTTGGGGAGGTGGGGGGAGGAGGAGGAGGAGGAAGAGGAGGAGGAGGAGGGAGAGACCAAAACAAGAAGCTGGACACCCTGCCTGTTGAATGTCTGCCTGCCTGTCTACCAGATTGCTGTCAAAGCCCCATCCTGGGAAACTAACATTTTTGTAAACGTTTTAATCTAGAGCAGTGATGGCTAGCCTTTTTGCCGTCAAGTGCCAAAAGTGGGGGAACTTTTACCAGTGGGCCCGGTAGGTCCATTATTCACCCTCCCCAAGCTCTAGAGGCTTTCTTGGAGCCTGGGGAGGGCGAAAATGGCTTTCCCCACCCCCTCCGGAGGCTGGAAATGGCTGGAAGCAGTGGTGGGTTGCTCCCGGTTCGTACCGGTTCGCAAGATTTCACTGGTAGTAAAAATTTGTAGAAGTTCCCAGAACCGGTAATAACATTGGCTGGCCATGCCCCCGAACCGGTCCCCGGCCCAGTCGCCGCTCGCTTACCCCGCCCACCTCATCAGAGGCTTTCTTTTTTTTTTTTTTACTTTTAAAAGCATTTTTTCCACAACCTCTTTGGCTGAAAAAAATGCTTTAAAAAAAAAAAAAAAGCTTCTGATGATCCTGCGGCTCAGCTGGGATCGTCAGAGGCTTTTCAAAGCATTTTTTTCTGCAACCTTTTGGCCGAAGAGGTGGTACAAAAAATGCTTTGAAAAGCCTCTGACGATCTCAGCTGAGTTGCCTGATCGGCAGAGGCTTTTCAAAGCATTAGAAAAAATGCTTTGAAAAGTTAAAAAAATAAAAGCCTCTGATGATCCCGCGGCTCAGCTGGGATCGTCAGAGGCTTTTCAAAGTATTTTTTTCTGCGACCTCTTGGCCGAAGAGGTGGTACAAAAAATGCTTTGAAAAGTCTCTGACAAATCCCAGCTGAGTTGCCTGATCAGCAGAGGCTTTTCAAAGCATTAGAAAAAATGCTTTTAAAAGTTAAAAAAAAAAAAAAGGTTGGCCACGCCCACCCAGTCACATTACCACCCCCCACCAAGCCACACCCACAAAACAAGCCACACCCACAGAACCATTAGTAAAAAAAAATTAAAACCTACCCCTGGCTGGAAGGCCCAAAAATCAGCTGGCCGGCGCGCACATGCGCACTGGAGCTGAGCTAGGGCAATGCTCGGGTGCCCACAGATATGGCTCCACGTGCCACCTGTGGCATGCGTGCCATAGGTTTGCCGTCACAGATCTAGACGTTTCCAATTCCTGCAGCCATTCATCATATGTTTTCACCTCCAGCCCCCTCTAATCATCTTTGTCGCTCTTCTCTGCACTCTTTCCAAAGTCTCCACAACTCTGACAACATTTTCCCTTCCTAGCAGACTCAAACCAGGATCATAAGTGTGAAGGGGTTTCCCCCATGCCCCCACCCCATTGGGGGCATCAAAACAACAAGAGCCTCAAATTAGGGGTGAACCTAATTCAATTCTTCCTTCATTTGGATGTGTTAGGACCGCGATGGCGAACCTATGGCACGCGTGCCACAGGTGGCATGCGAAGCTATGTCGCTTGGCACGCCAGCTCAGCTAGGGTGCACATGCACGCACTGGCCAGCTAATTTTTGGGCCTTCTGGGCCCACCAGAAGTAGGGAAACAGGCTGTTTCCTGTCTCCGGAGGGCCTGGGGTGAGGTGGGGAAGGCTGTTTTTGCCCTCCCCAGGTGCATAGAGAGGATCTGGACCCAGGTGAGACAGAAAAAACGGGCCTACCGGGACATCATGTGCCAGGACCTGGTGGGAGGGGGGTTGCACGCACATGCACAGGGCAGGGTGCATAGAATTACGGGTGTGGGCATGCTCACGCGTGAACCTCCCCCATCCCCCTTCATGGCACGCGATGGCAAAAAGGTTAGCCATCACTGTGTTAGGATATGGTTTGAGCCTAATAAGTTGTCCAGGCAATATATGTGTTCTGTGACTTTAATATGAATACGTATTTTGTGACTTTAAAGTTTTACTGCTGATTCCTTGTAATGCTGAGTCATGCTGTAATTAGATAATCACTAGTTGTAAACGTATTTAAGAAAGGTACTGTAACGTATTCAGTTGATGATATGCTACCATAGTGTGTGGAGTTGCTATCATTGTGCTATCATCGTTGGATGGATCTGCTACCATCGTGGTTGGTGAACCAGAGTGAGTTTGTTATTCTAACCAACTACTGTTTGTGTGGTAAGAAGAGTTTCTGTATCACTGGACTGATTGAACTGGCAAAGACTTGGATTGATTTAAACACTATGAGATTGTTTTTTTTCACTATAAAGTAAACTTTTGATAAACCAGTTTGCACATCTCTTATTCATTGCTCCCAGCAACGTTTCTCTGTGCTCTACACTCTGCTGGTTGGTAACACAACAACAATATCCTTAACAGGAGGGAGGGAGGGATGGAAACTACCTAGAATTCCTGCTGGATGAAAAGGTCTTTCTTTAGCTGAAGGACCCACAAGTTCCCCCCTTCCTCTGGGATTGTCTATCCCCACCCCCGCCCCGCCCCGTTGCCTCCGAACTCCGTCCTGCCTGCTCGCACAAAGACCTATTTTATACCAGGCTGCCAACTAGGGTGCTTGGCGATGGGTGCCAAGGCAAATCTGGGGCCAGGCCAAGAACGTAAGAAAAAGGAATTGCTTGCATCCCTTGAACCTCGGCGTGGATTATTGCAGCCAGGCGAGAAAGGGGTGGGTGGGGGGTGCTTTTTTGCAACCGGAGACCCTCCCCCCCCAAACTCTCCCGCCCATGCCAACTAAGGCCAGGTGGATTTTCCTCTTGAAAAGCACCATTCAGAGCTCAACCCAGCGCCAGACGAGAAAGGCTGAGGATCAACAGCTCTCCCTGCCCTTCGCGGCTCCTCGCCAGCAGCTGTTCTGCGGGGACGACGACAACACACAAATCGAGATATAGAGGAATTAATTTGCACATTCCTGAACACAAGTCTGGGACAGGGATTGTGCAACTACTCGCTATTTGGGCCATCCGACAATTTTTTTTTTTAAATTTGATTTATATGCCGCCCTTCTCCGGAGACTCAGGGCGGCTTACGATGCGTTAAGCAATAGCCTTCATACTTTTGTATATTTATACAAAGTCAGCTTATTGCCCCCACAACCTGGGTCCTCAATTTACCCACCTTAGAAAGGATGGAAGGCTGAGTCGACCTTGAGCCTGGGGAGATTCGAACTTACAGTAATTGCAGACAGCTGGTGTTAATCACAATGCTATCAGTCTGCTGAGCTATCCAGGCTCCTCTGAGCTATCCAGGCTCCTTGGAGTTCCCTGGAATTCCCTCGATCTTTTTTCCGTTGTCGTCGTCGTCATATTTTGTTTCTAATTCGATCCTAATATAATACAGGGGACACGGTGGCTCAGTGGCTAAGACGCTGAGCTTGTCGATCGAAAGGTCGGCCCTTCAGCGGTTCAAATCCCTAGTGCTGCATTAACGGGGTGAGCTCCTGTGACTTGTCCCGGCTTCTGCCAACCTAGCAGTTCGAAAGCAGGTAAAAAATGCAAGTAGAAAAATAGGGACCACATATGGTGGGAAGGTAACAGCGTTCCATGCGCCTTTGGCGTTGAGTCATGCCGGCCACATGACCATGGAGACGTCTTCGGACAGCGCTGGCTCTTCGGCTTTGAAACGGAGATGAGCACCGCCCCCTAGAGTCAGGAACGACTAGCACATATGTGCGAGGGAAACGTTTACCTTAACCTTAATATAATACAGGTAGTCCTCGACTTACAGCCATTCATTGAGGGACTTTTCAAAGCTACAAAAAGCGACTTAGGACGGTGTTTCACACTTATGACCGTTGCAGCATCCCCAGGGTCACCTGATCAAAGTTTGGACGCTTGGAAACTGGCTCATATTTATGACGGTCGTAGTGTGTTCTGTGTCACGTGATCCGCTTTTGAGACCTTCTGACAAGCACAAGCAATGGGGAAGCCAGATTCACTTACCGGCCATGTTACTAACTGCAGTGATTCACTTAACACAATGATGGCAAAGCAAGGTCGTAAAACGGAGCAAAAAAATCACCACAACTGTCTTCTTTAGCAAAGGAAATATTTGGCTCAGTTGTGGTCGTAAGTCGAGGAATATCTACCAATGAGAAACCTAACCTGGCCTAGCTGTAAATTCCACTGAAAAAAACATTCACCGAAATTGACCAAAATGCTTCCTGGAACATAGAACATCGAATCTTTGGTCTGGAAGGGACCTTGGAGGTCTTCTAGTCCAACCCCTTGCTCAAGTAGGAAACCCTTTACCAGTTCAGACAAATGGTTGTCCAATCTCTTCTTAAAAACCTTCCAGTGTTGGGGCATTCACAACTTCTGGTGGCAAGTTGTTCCACTGATTAATTGTTTTAACTGTCAGGAAATTCCTCCTTAGTTCTAGGTTGCTTCTCTCCTTGATGAGTTTCCATCCGTTGTTTCTTGTCCTGCCTTCAGGTGCTTTGGAGAAGAGCTTGACTCCCTCTTCTTTGGGGCAACCCCTGAGATATTGGAACACTGCTATCATGTCTCCGTTTTGGCCCTCCCCAGGCTCCTAGAAAGGCTCTGGAGGTTGGGAAGAGCA